CCGTCCGTGTTAAAATATATTTTAAAAAATTTACAAAAATAAACAGCTACAGTATTTTTACAGTCTTTATTTTACAGTTAAAATATTTGTTAATCAAATAAAATCTAATGTTACAACTAATCAGCTGCCAAAGGTGGTCTTCGTTCCACTCAGACTAGCCATTTGCTCATCATTCTGGTCAGAGTTTCCTGTAAATTATAGTAATTTAAAGAGCTATCTGCAACACYGTTTAATAATTGTTCACAAATTTTCTTACAGAACTCCACTTCAAAAGGGTCTGAACTATTAAACTTCAGCTAAAACATACAGTTGTACCAGACTGACACACAAATAATCAAATAAATAATAAAATAATCTTCCACAATAACTGAGGAGTGTCACTTGGGAGTAGTACTTTAACTTAAAAAGCAAACCCTCTTTGAATTTCAGAGTAAAAGTTAATAAATTTAAACATTCAACATGTATTCAGGCTACAATGCATCTTTATTGTTTTACATATCAAAACTTGTTTCATTTGAAAACACTTGCTACACAGGTTGTGCAATCTGTTTMTTTTAGGCTAAACTGTCCCATTTCTGCTTTAGTTAAAGCCATGTGGTAAAAAAATGTAAAAGCAGAAACTGACTGGGGTGTTTTAGTTCAGCAGGTTAGCAAAACGGTCTTAAAAAAGCTCAAACAGGGAGGAGGATGATGTTTGGTCGCTGACGTGAACAAGACATGTTCTACACATTTATATCACCAGAACAAACAATAAGAAAAAACAACACTCATCGCTGAATGAGAAATATATCAAACTAATACTGAAGCAACTTAGCAACAGAACAAGCATGCACACATGGGATCAGTTTATTGAGCTAAATGAGGAATGTGACTGAATAAAATACACAAAAACAAACATTAATTGTATTACAGCTCGTTCCAACTATCAGTGCTAGACTTCACATTTTTCTCTCTCTTACAGGAGCCTAAAGAAAACCTGATAAGATAAATTAAATCAGTAAGTAAAGGGGAGGTGGTGGTAGTGTCATTAAATAAATGCTTTCATTCAGGTCAGAACTGTGTTMGAGCTTTGGTCAATACTCTGCTCAGTTTCTTTAGAGCTACAAGCACAATTTATAAAAACAAAATAATGAGCTGATCCTGAACAACTTCCACAGCAGCTGTAAACAACAATGAAGGTCAGTTTGAAAAACTGAAAACTTTCTTTTGTTTTGGGTGTTTTGGTTTCTTTATTTCCTGGTTTGAAGTGTTCTGAACTGGGCTGAGCTCACTCCGTTTTGCTGTAGTCGCCTGTGTGTCCCAGCACCTTCTTCCTCTGTCGAATCATGTGGAAGTAAAGCTGAGGAAACACTGAGGAAGACAAGAACAAAGGTTTCACTCAGTGTCGTCCAAGATGTGTAAAAAAACATGATCGAACATTAGAAACCAGAATAAACTGCAGAAAAAACCAAGTAAAMGCTCAGTTAAACATCTTTATTCTCCAGCTGTACAACTCCATGTCAGTGTCTGTGTGCACGGCCCTGAGCTTTATCAGAACCATAGTCGTAAAGTAACTAAGTACAAATACTTTGTTACTGTACTTAAGTAGAAATTTTGGTTATCTGTACTTTACTTGATTAATTATTTTTCAGTGTACTTTTTACTTTTACTCATTACATTTTTACACAATTATCTGTACTTCCTACTC